TGTTTCCCCTCTGTGTGGTTGAATCTAGGACTTTGTGGTTTAACCCTCGGAGCATGCTTGTTTTGTTGGCCACCAAAGTCATGGAGTGTTTCCAGCTTCGAGCATAGTGAGTCATCTGTCTGCTCAAGGTAATCGACTGCAAAGGTAATCTATCTAACCTTTTCCTTTCAGGTTGAACCAACTATATTATTCGATTCAAGTGGCTAGAGCCTTGAATATATCGACTTGTTGGTGTCTAATAACTTTCTGGAAGAAAGTTAATTCGATAAATAGTTGGGTAAATTTATGCATTGACGATCATTGTCTAAATCGCATGCTTATGCGAGTAATTAAGTGAAAAAATTTATTAACATGATCTAATTCATTGTGTAGATGAAATTATACAAATTCCTGATTATTTTCTCTATTTTTGGCTTAATTGGGTAGAATCTAACGAAGTTGCTAAAGTGTAGCAGAATTAGAGGAGTAATGCAGTCTTTACTGCATAACCCCAAAACGAGGCAAGAAATTGAGCATAGCTCATCATAGATCACATCATATCTAACAGGGTTCTATTTCTCCTTTCTGGTACACCATTCTGTTGACGTGTACCAGGTGCTGAGAGTTGGGATATAATTCCATGTTCTATCATATAGTCCTGGAATCTTAAGTCCATTTATTCTCCACCCCGATTAGATCGAAGTGTCTTTATTGTCTTACCTAATTGGTTCTCAATTTCAGTATTGAACTCCTTAAACTTTTCAAGGGCTTTAGACTTACATGGCATTAGTTAGAGATATTCATACCTTGAATAATCATCTATGAAAGAGATGAAATACTCATACCCTCCCCTAACTTTAACATTCATCGAACCACAAAGGTCTGAATGTACCAGCTCCAAGGGTTCTCTGGCTCTGTAACCTTTTCCAGTAAGAGGTATTTTAGGATCTTGCCTTCAAAACAAGATTCACACGGAGGTAAGGAGTCATCTTCTAACTCATTTAGAAGTCCACCCAATCCTGTTGAGATTTATGTGACCTAATCTTAAGTGCCAAAAATAGGTATTTTCTTTTGGAGAAGTTCTTTGCCTTTTGTGTTGAGTTTTAGCATTTCTAAACAACTCTGTATTTAAAATTGTTGTAGTTATGGTTGGTCTTAACATATATTAGTTGTTTTCGAGTTTTGTATAACAAACGTTAACACCATTTCGTGAAATGAACTCTGCATTTAATGAAAAGGAAATAGCATAACATTGTTCAAGTAGACAAAAAATTGAAATTAGGTTCCTCTTTATTTTAGGAACTATATGCACATTATCTAAAATATAAATGTTTTCTTGTATAAAAACAACTCTAGGTCTCCCACTACAACTACTAAGACGACATCTCCCGTTCATCAAGCTGCCTTCAAGAACTAATTTCCTGAAAAGAAGAAGAAACATGGTTAGTGTCCCCTGCATCCAGTATCTAGGCAGAATCATCATGCTCCACTAAGCAAGTTTCAACAACAAGAAAATCATAATTACCTTATTTGGCTTTCTTCTATTCGGCCAAGGTATTTCAGTTAGTTTCTTTTCCAGTGCCCAACCACGTTGCAGTGGAAAGATTTTCCTTTATTTGCAACTTTGGCCTTCCTCTTCCTGGTAGCAGCAGTAACAGTAGGGTCAACTTGCACCCCCTTACCATTGTTCTTCTTTTTCTTGAAACTCTTGCTTATAGAAGAAGAAAGTGCAGATTTGGTTCCTGAGGTCGAACCTCGATGGAACCGTTTTGAGGTGACAACGTTTGCCTCCCCTTCCTATCCCTTATGTTTCATAAGAGACTGAAAAATCTATAGCTCATTTAAGAGCGTGGTAAGGTTGTACTCTATCTTGTTCATCACAACATTGCTGTGAAATTGTAGGAAACTCTTCGGAAGAGATTCCAAGATAAAGCTGGCCTGACTCCCCTCGTCTATGACAGCGCCGTTCACTTCATCCACATTAAAGTGGACCATCAAGTTGAGAACATGTTCTAGCACTGATGTTCCGTCTTTTATGCGGGAATTGTAAATGAACTTGAGGGTATCGTGTCAGGCTTGAATGGACTGCTGTCCAAACATGTCCCGCAATGAGTCCATGATCTCCCTTGTGGTAACCATTCTATCATGCTTCTTAGCCAGCACATCGGATATGCTGGCAAAAATATAGACCTTGGCCTTGTCATTGGCCTTGATCCATCTGTCATAAGCATCCCGACTGGCTCGGACTGCATTAGGCGTGGGAGGTTGACGACACTCCTCAGTTAAGACGAACCTAAGATCATCTACCACGAGTATCGCGTTAAGGTTTGTTTTCCATTGTGTGTAATTTTTGCCGTTAAGTTTTTCGATGGCAAGCAGGGCAATAACGGAAGTAGACATGCTGAAATATAAACAAATCTATATAAAACACTTGCATTACCCATTAAAACCCAATCAATTTTAGCAAAAAGTAATAATGCACCATATCAATCAAGATTATTTTTGCAACAATGCTACAGTGATTTAGAGCAACAGCTACCGTGGGACAGTAAGCTAGTCATTCACTGAATTGAGACATTCTCGACTAAATATTACACCAGAATAACTCTTATTCATATAACAATTAGTCACCGTTTGTTTGGTCAAAGAGTTACTAACAAACTTGACAACTTCTCGTAAGTGTGACCCACCATTTTCAGACCTCAGAGGTCCACCTCAATAAGCTCGTCGTAGGAAAGGACAAATATTGGTGCAAAACTTAAGAGACCTTATCCATTTCTGGAGTTCGCCCTGATTTTGATTGCATACGACAGATCTGTAGGGGTGGTCGCTCCAGGACATCACGCAGGCCGTGTATGAAATCTCACGTTGCAAACCAATGGAGGGCACCATAGGATGTGTTGTTACACGTCCTTCTCCCACTTACTATAAATATTTTCTCCATTCACCTTGGCATTGAACCATGCGAACACCTTTCATAGGGAGGCCGCACCCAGGGTGAAATTAAGCCGAGCATGGAATTGACGGTGTGAACTTATACGGAGAACGTGAGTGAAAGGATATATATATATATATATATATATATATATACAACATATATCTCATATACTTGGTATATTTTATATACACCTAATCCTCCCACTCAGTATTTTACAACTAGGGTTATTACTTAGATAAAATTTGACTAAATTAAATTATCTAAGTTAATTAGTTTGCCCGATATAACTTTTATATTGGATTTGGTTAACACTTAATCTTTTAGTTCATTAAAAACTTTAACAAACTAACCACATTATTGCATGCTATTAAATATTGACTAATTCAACATCTAGGTCAGTTCCCAAGTAGTGGTGTTCCCTTACAGTCAGCTTAAGTACCCAACCTAGACAGAACCTTCCTTAGACAAAGTTACCTTATTGAAATTAACTATTGAAGACCTAGGGTTTGCATGTAATTCTTGATTATAGACTTTAATTTCTATTCACTAAACTTATAACACTTATAAATTTAAAGATATTGAAACTATAATCATACATCGATGACATACATAAATATAACATTTATATTTACTAAAGTCATGTCATGCTCAATTCAACTTTATTTTCAACTAATTAATCATGAAAATAAATCATGCTATCATACATTATAACTATTATATACATATGATGCATGAACATGCTTAGCCTATGGTGGGATTTTAAACTATATGGCATACTTTATGCAACATATACAACTAATTAAGTATACATTCAAAATGCATAATAATTAAATAGTAAAATAGACCGGCTTTTGGCTTCCTATAAGAAATGAAACAAAAAAAAACTTTTTTTTTTACAAAACCCCGCACCTAGGCACTTGAAGCCAGCGTCGAGGCGCCGCGGGACACTGCCTAAGCACTACCCTCACCGTTGCAGGCCCGAGCTCTCGGGTTTCTTCAGCTCTGGCAGCGCCTGGGCGTCGCCCCCAGTGTCGAGGCGCTGTCCACCCAGTTTCTCTGGTTTTTCTTCACTTATCTAGTATTCTTTCATAGCAACTCCTTGCCACGATCGATAGGAACTTACATACTCGATTTACAGGATTAAACACCCAAAACAACGGTCTTTTACATTGATCGAATCAACGAAAAAACTGAAAATCTAATGCCGAAAACCGAAAAAATCTATTTGCAAACCATATACATCAAATGCATAGAATCACCCACCATTCTTTTCCTTGTTATTCAAAACAAGATCGAAAGCAGAGCCTAGGCTCTGATACCAATTGAAGAGATCAGATCCCGCAGCGAAACGCGTAAACGTGTGTGCTTCAATCTTATTTTAGAATTACAACAAAGAAAAGACATAAGCATGAGTAAAAAGAAGTTCGTGATATATACCTTTGAAGACGCCTCTTCAACGTATACACAAACGCCACCAATAAGTCTTCCTCACTATCCTCTGGATGTTACGAACTCGGTTTGTGGGAACCGTTTATAATTGAAAAGAAAACCGAGAGGTCGAGAGATAATTTCTCGTTGGAGTTTCGGAAACTGAGAAACCTAGGACTGAGAGCCGTGAAAAGAAATTGGGAGAGCCCCCTTTTCTAGGCAATGAAGAGTGAGGGGCAAGTCACCACTTCCCCACTCAGTTCCCCACTTCCTACCATTAAAGGTGGGAAGTGGGAAAACCTCTCTGGTGGAAAGTGGGAGGTTTTCCTCCCATTTTCCTTTTCCTTTTTTATTTTATTTTATTTTTAATTTAATTAAAATAATAATCAATTAAATATAATTAATTAATTACAAAAAAGAATTATTAATTAAATCTAATTTAATTGGACCAAATTAATATATCACATTAATTTAATTAAATCATATTTAATTAAATTAAACTTAAATTAATGAAACATATTATAATCCAATTCTAATACCCATCTCTCTCATAATTTGGACTCCAATTCAAAATGAAGTTTATATTATAATGTATCAATATACATTATACTAATTGCATCTCAATCAATTAACCTCAATTCCCTTTAACAAATTTGAACAATTCAAATTCTTTTCAAGACTAAATGTTCTTAACTATCCTTTACCAGCTATCAAGGGGACCTAATGGACCTACAGATCGAAAGCTCCAACGATACGAGATTAATTTATTAAACACATTAACCATATTAATCAACATTCGTTAACTGTCGGTCACTCCATTAAAGACCGACAGTTGCACTCTTCTCACTGTAGAATATTTTGCGTCCATGGGTTTTGACCATTAATGGTAAGTCAATCCATCACGAGTGTTCGTAACTACAGCTGGGTAAAATTTACCGTTTTACCCCTATGTTACATCTTGTACCTTAAGTACCTGCTGATCCTTTAATGAGCAACCCAATTATGGTCCAACCAATAACCAGAAGTCCCTCACGGGCTAGTGAGAGGGTGGAACCCCTTATTCATGTCCCGGAATCAGCACTTAAGAGAGCACTCGTCTACTTACCCTGAAGTCAGGAAGGATTGAATTTCATCTTGTGTAGTTATGTTTTCAGCTCCCCACTCGGTCTCGTCTCCAAAATGATAGGCATATTGAGTCGGTGACTCGAGCCACTCTCACCCATACAAATCAATGGACGAGTCCTAACAGGCAGGAGTCCATAACTAACTCAGGATTGAGATCGAGTTACCTGGTCATCCTATTCAAATATTAATCTATTAGCTAACGGTGTTACAGTTAAAAATTAATTATTTCGCGGTCCGGTCTTATACAAACTCATCGTATAGGATACCCCCACTCGCATTTCTTTACACGAACGACCTGGATCAAGTGGAGTAGATCGTGAGGTGCCGATCATTCTTGGGAGGCCGTTTTTAGCAACTGGAGACATGGTATTCAATGTTAGGAAAGGAGAGATCACTATGAAGGTCAATGATGAGCAAGTAACCTTCAATGTCCATGACGCGATGCATCTCCTAGATGGAATCGCGGAGTGCTCTGCAATAGAGGCAACCATGGACTAGGAGATGATTATGGAAGATTTAGAAGTAGATTTGGAGGCTGCAGAACAAAAAGCAAAAATCACGCCTAGCGCAATTTTGACACAACTTAAGCATTTTGAGTTTTTACAACCAATAATAGCTTATTTCAAAGCCTTGCGACCATCCATCACTGAACCTCCAAAATTAGAGAAGAAACCCCTACCCTCTCATTTAAAATATGCATATTTGGATTTAAACGATACTTTGTCGGTTATCATTTCTTCGTATTTGTCTAATGAACATGAATGTTTGCTTTCGCAGGTTTTGTTAAACTACAAGAGGGATATTGGATGGACTATAACGCACATAAGAGGAATTAGCCCTACTTTTTGCATGCACGAAATCATCTTAGAAGAAGGAGCCACCAATTCTATTGAGAGCCAAAAGATGCTTAACCCTAAAATGAAAAAGGTGGTAAAGAAGGAGATAATAAAATGGTTAGACGTCAAGGTGATCTGCTTCATTTCAGACAGAAGTTGGGTTAGCCCGGTCCAATGTGTTCCCAAAAAAGGTGGTATGATGGTGATAACTTACGATAACAACGAGTTAATCCGGACAAGCACGACAACTGGTTGGAGAGTGTGTATGGACTACTGTCGCCTAAATAAGGTAACTCGAAAAGACCATTTTCCACTTCCTCTTATTGACCAAATGCTTGATCGTCTTACAGGGAAGGAGTGTTATTGCTTTCTAGACGTGTATTCTGGTTACAACCAGATTACAATAGCTCTGGAGGACGAAGAAAATACCACTTTCACATGAACTTATGGGAATTTGCATTCTAGGGGATGTCGTTCGGTCTTTGTAATGCTTTTGCCACCTTCAAAAGATGCATGACCGCTATTTTCTCTGACATGGTAGAAAGCACGGTAGAGATATTTATGGATGATTTTTCTGTGTTACCGTGAGTCTTTGAAGTTTGTTTATAAAATTCTGAGAATGTTTTAAAAAGGTGTGAAGAGACTAATCTTGTGCTTAATTGGGAGAAGTGCTCTTTTATGGTACTTGAAGGTATAGTGATACGAATCCATTTGTGACCAATTACATATATCAAAGGAGCAATTATTACAAGAAAGGCAAGGAAGATTCAAGAGGCTTTCACATTGCAC